TTTCAACATTCTACCGGCCATGTCTGGTCTTCCGAGCATTTGTTTTATTAGTTAATCTGTCTGGACCACTATGGTGTGAGCTAGGAAGTAGTGTCTCAGTCTCCTCTCCATATTAATGAGGGCCAGAGCTACTTTTTCGATTTGTTGGTATCTTGCTTCCGGGCCCTGTAGGGCCTTGATCGTGAAGTAAATTGGCCTTTGTCCTTCTGGGTTTTCCCTTATCAGCGCCGCGCTTATTGCCTCGGAAGCGACGACTAGGTAAAGGTAAAGGACCCTGTCTTTCCCGGGCCGAGATAGGAAGGGTGACTACGACATCGCTCTTTTCAAATGAACGAGGGCTTGTTCGCATTCGGGCGTCCACTCGAAGGTGGTTTCCTTGTGCAGGATCTTGAACAAGGGAAGCACGTGCTGGGCGGACTTTGCCACGAATCGAGAAAGAGAAGTGAGCATGCTGTTCAAGATCTGGATGGATTTCTTCGAGGTGGGCGTCAGAAATTCGGAAAATGCCCGACATTTGTCGGTTTTTGCCTCAATGCCTCATTTTGTTAGATAGATTCGAGGAACTTTCCTGCCCGTACGCCGAAGGTGCATTTTTCCGGGTTGAATCGCATCCGGCATTTTCAAGCTTTCTCGAATACTTTTTTCAAGTGGGCGGCATGGTCGATCTCTTAGGTGTACTTGACAATCATGTCGTTAATATAGAATTCAAGCATGTCGCCTATTTCGTTGCGAAAGACTTTGTTCATCATGTGCTGGTAAGTAGCGCCCACGTTTTTTAGGCCGAAGGGCATTACATTGTAGTAATAATTGCCCGACTCGGTCATGAAAGCAATATATTTTTTGTCCATTTTTGCCATGGGGATCTGGTTATAACCAGAGTATGTGTCCATGAATGATAGCAATTTAAAACCGACTGAGTTATCGACCAGTTTGTCAATATCGGGGAGAGGATAAGCATCTTTCGGGCAAGCCCAATTGAGATTAGTATAGTCAATATACATGCGCCATTTTCCATTAGATTTTTTAACAAGAACTACATTCGAGAGGCAGGTTGCGTACTGGGCTTCAGAAATAAAATGTGCCTCTAAGAGGTCTTTTACAACTAGTTTTGTAGCCTTTTCTTTCTCGGTCGACTACTTTCTTCTGCACCGCGCGACCGCCTTGATGGTAGGATCATTGGTCAGGTGATGGCATGCGACCTCAAGGTATAAACCGGGCATCTCTCTCGCACTCCAGGTGAACAGATCGAAATTTTCCCCTAGGAAAGCTTTGAGTTACCTTTTCTCCAGGTCGAGGAGGTCTGCTCCGATTTTCACTCCCCTGGTGGGTCTTCTCCGAGAGGAACTAGCTCAAAGTCGCTGTCCGGGATGGACCATGCGTGACTTAAGAGTTCATTGCAATCAGTAGAGGAGGTTGACTCTTTGTCTTCGACCATATTCTCCTTCTTCTTCCTCCTTTGCTCGACACGGTCTTCCATGGAAAAGCGACTGTCGAGGTCAATGGTGTCAACCCTCGGAAGAGGCTTGACCTCCTCAGAACTGGAGGGCAGTGTGGCCCTAGTGGTCGTTCGAGGTTGGGCGCTGATGAAACTGAGGCCTTTGGCAGAAGCTTCGAAGCACCTTCTGGAAGCTTGGATGTCCCTGCGGAGGGTGGCGACCAAGCCTTCGGCATTGTAATACTTCATCTTGAGATGAAAGGTAGAAGGAACCACGATGAGTTCTACGAGAGTGGGTCTCCCAAAGATGCATTGGTAGAGAGACGGGCAATCTACCACCAAGAATTGGGTCTTGATGGATCTGGCCGTTACCCCTCTCCTGAATGTGATGATCAGCTCTACATATCCCCAGGGCTTCGTGCTGGCCCCGTTGAAACCCTAGAGATCAGATCCCACGTAGGGGGTCAGGTGGCTCTCGTTCAGCTGTAAGGTGGTGAACAACTGGGTGTACATAATGTCCATCAAACTGCCTTGGTCGACCAGAATGCGATGCACGTCAAAGTTAGCCATCCGAGCTCTCATGAGTAGTGGGATGCTCGAATTCGAGGCCCCGCATGAAAACTCTTCCCTGTAGAAGGTGAGGGGATGAGATCCTCCTTGGAATTTATCGAGCGTGGCGTCCATATATGAGTTGGCTTTAATGAGTTGGTCGAATCTTCTCTTCACTGATCCAACTGTGTGTCTGTTGAACCCTCTTCCAGAGATGACCATGGTTGCGGGGAAGGATTTCCAAGGACTATGGGAGGAGAAGCACAGGGGGACGTCCTCCATGTCCAGATAATAGAAGTCTTCCATCCGTGAGATGCTCATGGCGACCGGAATAGGGTCGAGGTCGGGGGATTTCTTCCCTTCCTCGACATTCTTGGTTTCTGGTGCTTCGTCACGGGCACCCTCCTTCTTCTTATACTGCTTGAGGTGCCCGTCTCTGATCAGTATTTCAATTGCATCCTTGAGATGAATGCAATCCTTCATGTTGTGACTGTGACTCTTGTGGAACCTACAATACTTGCTCTTGTCGGTTCCCGGCTTGGACGATGTTTGTCGGGGGAAGTGCACCCCAGCTTGCTTGAATTCAGAATTAGCACATTCAGAAAGAATATGCTCCCTTGAGGTTCTCATAGGGGTGTAGTTGTGGAAACGACCGGCCGGCCCCTTGTAGTCTTTGGGATCACGGGACTTATCCTCCCGTTTCTTCTCTCCCCGATGGGACGTCGAGGGTTCATCGTTCTTTGAGGACTTGGCACTCTCTCTGTGCCTAGATTCTCGAGCGCTGTTGGCCGCCTCCTCCTTCTCGTACTGTATGTATGCTTGGGCCTTTAGGAGAAGGCAGTTGAGTGTGGCTGGTGTCTCTATGCCCACAACTTTGGTAAAGTCGATGCGGAGACGGAGCCCGCGCTCAAGGAGGTACTTCTTCATATTGTCCTTTGTTGGGACTTGGACCGCTTCCTTGTTGAAGCATTCAATATATGCCCGCAGAGACTCGTCCCTTCCCTGTATGATCGCTTCGAGCGAAGCCTCTAATTTCAGGTGTCGGTGGGAGGCGGTGAAATGCCTCAAAAATATCCTCCCGAGTTGTTTCCATGAGGTGATAGATTCATCGGGGAGGCTCTTGTACCATGTCATCGCCCCCTTCCTGAGAGTGGTTGAGAAGAGTCTGCATTTGATGGCTCCCTTGACTCCTCGGTAGTCGAGGAGAGCGTCGATATTCTCGATGTACTCATCAGGGTCTGTTGTTCCGTCGTAGGTTCCCAAAGTGGGAGGCTTCTCTAGGACGACATGAAGTGGAGCTTCAGTAATCTCCCTCGATAGCGGACCACGGGGCTTGTCACCCTCACTATCTACAGGAGATGGAGAGTGGTGGTTTCTTCCCCGTTGGTCGTCATGGTCCCGTTGAGGAGAGGGGCTCCCCCACTTCTATTTTGGCTCGGGGGAGGGCAGTCGAGCACGATCGATTTTCCTGTTGTCTTTCCTCTTCATGAATGAAGGGGAGTCTTGATCTCTGGCAGGAGGTGTGCAGTTGCGTTTCTTGAAGGAAGAAACGTCGCACCTCTCCTTTATGGGTGGTGGGCCACGCCGGGGTGGAGAAACACTGAGGGAGTTTCGTCTTTTGATTCTCCGAGTAGGAGATCTTCATCTCCTGTTCTCCCAGGTTCCTATCCTTTGATTTTGTTGCAGGATGATGACGTTGGTCTGATTGATAGCAGCGAGCAGTGCTGCCATGGCCGGGTCAACATTGAGAGGGATATGAACTAGTTGCATGACTTCTGATAGTTTCTCGGCAGGATTCTTGGAGTGTCCCTTGTTCAAGAATTGGTCGTCGCTGCGTCGGGCGTCAGTGGAATCTAGAGACGCGGTCTGTCCATCTTGGAAGCCCAGGTTGTCCTCGAGATGAGGATGCCCTTGACTTCTGTCGGTTTTGCGAGCAGGGGAAATAATGGTTTTTCCAGACATGTGAAAATCATCATGGTCGGCCATGATTAGTGAGAAGAATCTTGAAAAAGTTGTTTTGATCTTATGTTTCGAGGAAAGAAAGATGGGGAGAGCAGATTCCCACAGACGGCGCCACTGATCTTACCGGTTGATCAGAATGTGAGAAGTGGTCGGAAGATGATTTGTAGTCGGGCTGTGAAGTCGAGGAGAAAAATGGGTTTGTACCTGGCCCTCACAGGTGCGAGGGTTTATATAATGCCCTTGGCGCGTGGCCATTAGTTCCTGATTTCACGCTTAGATATGCAGATCCGTGAAATCAGGTAACGCCAGGACTTGGTCAAACCGGGCATATGTGCTCGTAACTAGCTGTTGGTCTCGAGGAGGGGGTTAGTTACGGACATCTCTTTGATCGGTTCCTAGTGGCCTGCACGACGTTGATGTCGGACAGGCTGAGAGGATGATCGTCAGTCGTCCTAGGCCAATGCTGGTTCGGGAGGGCGAACGACTGACATGCTCGATAGGTAGCAGGCAATCCAGATCACGGTCGTATGGGTCGTACCAAAGAAGATGTCTTGGACTGAATCTAGTCAAACTGTCGGGCCAATCCAGAACAAAAATAATATAACATAAAAGACCAATTTTCAAAATTAAAAATAAAAAACTTAAAAATCAGTCTAACGCTATGTATACATCATGTTTAAAATCTAATTTATATGCATCATAGTATCAAATGTTTTATATAGCTAATCAATTAAAATTATTATATTATTAAATATTAAATTTTAATTATATCTTCCATAAAGTCACATCATGTATACAAACACGTGTATAATGAATACAACTTTGTAAGTTTTTCTTTTTGAAAGAAAAAGTCAAATTCTCATTAACCATAGCTTTAAATTTGATCCTCAACTTTGGAAACAAGGTTAGGATTTGGTATAAATCATAACACAGAATTGATATCTAACTTGTTACAAAGAACAATACCACTTGTTTTCTGCCTAACAAAAAAGTTGAATACCCCTGTCCCTTTCTCAAGAGTTTCTCTCAGATTCATCAATAATATTATCAAATAATGGTAAATAGTATTTTCAGATCATATGTATATGCGTGTGTGATTATTATAATTTCAACTTTGTGACTTTTTTGAAAATTGATTATTTTGTTGTAGATTCACTTTGTGCTTCTCATTAGTAGACAAGGTAAAGTGAGGCTCACAAAATGGTATTCACCATATTCTCAAAAGGAAAGATCCAAGGTACATGTCTAAGATTCAAATATAAAATGTTTATTTTAACATCATGGTAATTTAATGAAATTGTATCAATGGTTGGATTCGAGATCACATGGTGCATTGCTTTTGTCACCGAAAGTGCACAATTTGTTTTTTTGGTTTGGAACTAAAATACATGTTGAATCACCATAAACAACATGAATAATGATTTTGGTGGTGATCAATAAGAGAAATCTATCATACATATTTCATTTTAGTTTTTAGTTTTTTTTTCAAAAATTTTTTGAAGTAGTTTTTAAGCTTTTAACTTTTAGGATTGTGATTTTTTCTTTTATTTATATTCCTATTATTTTAATAAAAATATATTATTATTCTTATTAATTAAAAAATCTTTCATGTTATTTTATATTAACTAAATCTCTTAAGTTAATTATTGTGATGTTTTGTTCTTGATCTTTTGGAGGTACTTAGAGAGTTAAGTGGCCTAGTTATCTCTCGAGGCCCAAAACTATGCAACTTTGTAGAGTGGAGGGGACTCAAAGTTGTTTATAAAAGGTGTGTTTGAATTCGCTGACAATATAATTTAACATGCAACATTCTGATTAATTGTTTGTAACATCAAATATTAGTTTGTTTCGAACATCGATATGATATAGATGTATGCAATTATATTAACTTTTTTGAATTTTTTCAATGACTATTAATATTATAATTTAATATATCTCGATTAATGTTATATGCAATTTTGAATGTCCTATACAGATGAGGTTTTATTGAGTCATAATTTAACTGTGATAAAATTCTATTTAACTATAATTTAATTGTGATAAATTTGAAACCCTGCACACGGTGTCACACTTTACAAATTCTTAGAGACAGATCTATCAAGTTTTGAGTCTCATGGTTTCGATGTGTTGTTTAGATATGCTAGTCTTTACTTTTGCATATGCAACGATCAAGAAGACAATGAATTGGAGACACTTTCCATCATCCATCACTATGTAGAAACACTGGATCGCTATTTTGGCAGTGTGAGCAACAATCATTATTTAATAATTTCTCTACAAATTTTAGAGTCTGATTTTTTTTTCTCGCATTCTCACCAGGTTTGTGAACTAGATTTAATCTTTAATTTCCATAAGGTGAACCATCTCTTCTCAAACACCATTTTCTCCACATTAGTTATTGGTTGAATGTTGAAAAAATATGTTATGATATGATCAGGCATATTTTATATTGGATGAAGTTTTGTTGGCTGGAATGATGCAAGAGACTAGCAAGAGAACAACTCTTAGACTCATAGCTGCACAGGTATCACCATGTATCACTATAAAATTAATTATTTATTCTGTTTTATATTATAAATAAATTTTATTTTTAAATTTATTTAATAATTAATGTATTTGGTCTATATATAAAATATATTTATTAATTTTTTTTTTTTTTAATTGAGACAAAGAGAATATTCCTTAAACTCCTCAACATTCATATTTTTACTTTTTGTGAGGAAAAATTGATATTTTGTGTTGTAGGAGGAGTTAGTGGAAGCTGCAAAAGAAGAGGCTAGTTCATTGAGCAATATAATTGCACAAGCCACTAAATAAGAACTTTATTGAGGAGTGATTTTTATTGCAAATAAACATGAAAAATGGTTCCCTCTCCTTATTTTGTCAAATTATACAACTTAAGTTTCAAAATAAACCAAAATTCTTACCACTTGTTGTATTATTTTTTATTTTTAACAAACAGTTATTGTATCTTTATTTTCAAAAAAGTTGTTATTTTCTCATTTGTTTTATTTTTTTCTTAGTGAGATTCAATTTTCAATTGTCTATTGCATTGCAGTGCTTTAAAAATTGGTTAGGACAAATCGATTAAACTGGAAATTAGAAATATAATAATTCTGAATTAGCTTTTAGATCAGCCATAAGCAAATTAGTGAAAATTAGTTTGAATCGGTCAAAATTAAAAAAGTTGTTTAATAAAAAATTATTGTAATTCGAATGTTTTTTGTTGTATAAATATGATATCTTTCGTGAATAACTATAGAGACTAATTTTTCGAAGCAATGATGTGTATAATTTCATAGATTAATTTTTCAAGATGGGAAAGATTACAATAGACCGTAAAAAACTCTCTCTCTCAATAAATTTAATATTAATACATATGTATATAACTAAGCTTGAATATAAAATCTCTAATTAAACTGAAAGAGACTCTTATCATATCAATTAAATATTCTTGAATCTGAATGGTTAATAATGATTGCTATGATTTGCTTCTTTTTAAAAGTTTAACTTGACAAAAAACAGTTCATTAGAGAATTTCAATTCAAACCGCTACTTATAAATATTGATTTTCATTTTTACTAAAAAAAAGCAATTCATGAAGCTGCTCTTGATAGAATATGGCCTTTAATAAATACAAGCTTTAAGTTGGCCCAAAAGAATTAGGATTTTAAAAATATAACAAGATTTTATCTTGTCATCTCTCAAATGTATCAGATGGTCTCCCAAATTTTTATAATACTCAAAGTATTCTTGTCATTTTTTTAATTAAAAATAACACACGAAAAATTTGGTAGTGTATTATAAAATTTTGATATTAATGTAAAAATCTAATATGTGGTTTTACTATTTTTATATAAAAAAAAACCGACGCATGAAAAAATATACCGATTTAAAAAAAAAATTATGGATTACCTAAATTTTCCTAAAATATTGAAAAATCTAATAGTGTAAAATCAATATTTTTTGAAAATTTTATGCATTTAACGTACGTTTTGTTAGACTACAAATTAATGTATACACAGATTCTCACATATCACGTGTGCTATATGTGCTACCAAATCATACATCTAATCATATGGGTTTGTAAAATTCACGAGATTATTTGAAAGAAGTGTGATCCTCTATAGCGGCGGTTAGTCAATCACATTAAGTGGAGACAATGATAAGTCATCAAAAGGTCCCCCAACATCAGAAGGTTCAACATCATCTACATGCTTAACATGTGGAGTGATGTGAGGGATTGATACAATAAGATATCACTCTAAGTAACCATACACATACAATTTAGGAAACTAAACCTCTACTGCATGATCTATAATAGAAAGGGCACAACTGACAACGTTAGACACAAATCATCTATCACTGCACTCAGCTGACACAACAAGGACTAGTCGTGAGTGTAGCGGTGAAAAGTTTGAGACCAAGTCATTGATTGACTTGATTCATTACAGTGAAAGTCGCCACCACACTTTATTATTTCTAAAGAAATGGGAAAAGAGCGGAATAAAACTCATAAATATAAACATGCAAAGTAAGAAGCAAAACTAAAAGTAAAGCAACAACAATGCATTTAAAGAGATCTAAGGTATGGGGGTTAGTTATACAAAAGGAATGTGTTAGCAACCTATGTATCTATAATATCCTATAAGAACCTCTTAAAATATCTGTTTTTTTTTTTTTGGCTAAAATTGATTTGTTTGCTAAATGAGTGTGGGAATGAGAAAAAAATTTTTTTGAAAATGAAATGATCTAATGTCAAAGTTTTTATGAAAGGAGTCTAAGTTTGAAAGTTTAGGGTTTTTAGGGGATCTAATATAAGATTAACAAAATTTAAAGATAAACGAAAAAAATCATACATTCACATAAGAGACATCCACAATGACATAAAGTCAACGAAACAACTCTTTCCCTTAAATTTTAAGCAAGTAAGAAAGCATAATAATCAAATAAAAATCAAAGTGTAAACACTAAATGATCCACAAGAAACAAAAGAGAAAATCAAATATAAAAGAAAAGAATTATAACTAATTAAATTAACTAGAGATGTAAACTAAACTAATATTAAAAAATTCATAAACTTACTAATTAAAACTAAACCAAGTAATAAAAATAATCTAATAATAACAAAGTACATGACTATTTAATAAAATTTGAAAAGTAAAACAAAACAAAAGAAGTAAGAAAATTAGTTAAAAAGAGAACAAAATAAAAGAGTGGTGTATGGTAGAAAACAGAACTGGGCTATAAGATATAAGAGATAGCAGGCCCAGAATATATATAAAAACGGATTATAAAATGCTGCTGGGCCGGACCGGGTCGGGTCCGGACCCAGCTCCCAACTTGAGAGGACACAGTAATGAAACGCAAATAACCTCTCAATAGCAAGTAATTGGTTTTTGCAGGGTATTTTAAAAACAAAAATAATAAGAAGAAAAGTAATAATAAAAAGAGGAAATTGTTAGTAACAATTAAACTAAAAAGTACAAAAAATGAAAAAAAACAGACACAAAAATTTGACTTTAATAATAATAATAATTTGACTTAAAATATTGAGTTAATATTAGAATTAAATCAAAATTAAAAAGAAATTAAAATTATAATGATTAAAGAAATAAAATATAAATAAAAGAAAATGATATTAATTATATTTTTTTTTTTTGAGATTTTTTGAACAAAAAATACAACTAAAATAAAAATGACGCGTCAATTGTATATATTTTTGGATTTTTTTCAAATAAAGTGATATAAACATATAAATTTAAATAGAATTAATAAAAGACCATATTTTTTAGTTATATTTTTTTTGTTAAAATGACAATAAAAACGTAAAATAAAAACATTAAAAGACCATATATATATATATATATATATATATATATATATATATATATATATATATATATATATATATATATATATATATATATATATATATATATATATATATATATATATATATATATATATATATATATATATATATTGGAATTTTTCATGAGAATACAAATAAGAAGAATGATGAATAAAGGATGAAGAAAATGACAATATACATGTTTGGATAAAATCGGGTAAAACACAATCAAAATTAAGTCCAGATTCACTAAATTTGTAAAACGACTTCTAGTGTTTCTATTTTTTCGTGGCTTTTTAAAGCATAATCAACTCTCGAATTGCAAAGAAAAGTTATACATGACGTCAAGGAGAATCATATGCAAAAAGAACTGCTTAAAATGTCAAAATTTAAAGAAGTTATAAATTTTTGAAATCTGACTCGAGAATTGCCAAAAATAGATCAAACTACCTGTGAACACTTGTTATGCAATGATGCAAATGAGGGGGGTGAGATCTTAGGTCAAAAATTCGGGTGTGATAGTGGGATGTCCTGGACGTGCCCAAATTGGCGTAGACACCTCTCAAGCAAGTGTTTAGCCACTGAGGTCTTCCACCACAGATAACAAGAAAAAGGGAAGTGTCATCAAACTCTCAATGTAATTTGTGGTCTACGTAGGGTGTCAAGATGACATCGTCCAATGTCAATGCATCTATTTTTCATTTGTACTCCAGAAGATAACCTAGGTGTGAATGTCCGACTTTCCATCTCTTGGCGCGTGTAGAGCCAATAATGGTAGGACTAACCCGCTTGTCACGAATGAACAGAAAATTATTGTATATCCAGCAGTGCACAAGAACATAGGCAAATAAACAAATGTCATAAAAAAACTAAATTATGAAGATATAATAAATTTGTATACTTGAAATCGACTCATATAACCGACATACTACCTCGTCTCAAAGACATTAGCCTCTCTAAGTTCAAATCATAGTACATTTAATGCAACACACCCCCATGCCCCGTTGACATGGTTAAGATCAATAAACAGAGACATGTAACTCACATCAATATATACATGAGACTTATCTATTAAGATAGTACATCCTACAAGATGTAGCATGTATACCCTAGCAGAAGTCTCATACATAAGTTGTGTCACCAACTCCGTATACCTATTCCGGAGCTAAGATAGACGAAAGTGAGCATTCATGTTAACATTAAACTCCTCTCTCACCTCCACCTTAATAACCCCCAAAGTCTTGTAAAATAGTTATACATGCAAGCTCTTGGTTAATCAAAGGAGTGGTGAAGAAACCACCTGACAGGAGAGATGGAACAGGGAGGAGACATCATTCAAAGTAACCATCATCTCACTAAATAAAAGATGAAAAGAGGATGTATTTGTATGCCATCGCTCAACAAAAGCTGACAATAGTGAAGTGTCGAACATGGTCTACAAATAGTCCACCAATGAAAGGAGGCCGCAACCATCGACAATCTCCTGAACCTTTGGAGGCATGTGGACATCTAAGAACTTTTGTAGCTTCGTCTCGTGGGTGAGGACTTTCAACGACAGACGGTCATGTAACAAATAAAGTAAAAACATCATTTATTTTAAACGCGTCAATAATAAATAAAAATAAGTTCAAAATAACACACACGCAAACACACTTTTGAATGATCTAAAAGCCTTTGTAACTTAGTTAAAATTACCTAAAATTCTTTCAACAAGATTGTACTTGTAAATTTTAACCAAAATAATGTAATATTATAAAAAATTATATTTTAATGAAACACGCAATAGACGAGAATTGGCTTACCCTGTAAAAAAAAGTTTTGGATCCCCTCTTGAAATGTTAAAATTTTATGTCTTTTGCCCCTTAAGTGTACAAATTATCCCCCTATAATATTTTTTATTTATCCCCCAAATTCAGTGTTCAAATTGTATGCATAGAGGGGAATCCAAAAAAAACTATACACA